TGGGATATGGTCGGAGCAATACAATTKTTAGTTGATATTTATTTTGTTACCATTTATTTCAGCACCTATTCTTGCTTTTATAAGTAATGCTATACAAAAGTTGTAAGAAAATGAAAAATAAAATAATTGATCTCAGGACACACATGTGTATTCAAATTAAAATTCATTATTTAATACGTGACCCTTAGTTTAAGTGTTAAGGTCAGGACTAGGGCCAGGTCACGTAACCGGGAAAAACAAGCCTTCATTAGACACAATCGATAAAACTGAACTAAGTGATGAAAAATAGTTCTGAAAGTAATGTTTTTCTTCATTCCTGACCCCTTTTTTTGGCCAAAAATTCCTGATTGCATGTGTTATCATGGTTATCAAGACCATGCATTCATTCAGGGGCGAAGAGCAAGACGTTGTTAATCCTTATGGGGTTTGGCTAGGGRCTTTTTCACTAGGGCTTTCTGAAAAAAAWATCAGACGGCACCCCACAGTCCGCAATACACCCCCTACCCACTCCGATACCATTGAAGGCTTATTTAAGTCTAATTTATGTTCAGAAAGGGTGTAAAGACTATATATATTTTACACTAAGATAGGAWGCCACAAGTTGGAAAACTCCGAAGATCAGGCGAAAAGATTACACACGATATGCTTCCGAACTATTGTCGACTGACATAAACCTTTCCGATTTTCGTCCGATTATATTACGAGCGTAGTCCGAACCCATCATTCTTTGCGGTCGTGTTCGAAATAATTTCGAACTCGAAATAATTCCGAACTCCAAATCATTCCGAGCTCGAAATAATTCTGGACTCGAAATAATTCCGAACTCGAAATATCCAAAACTAATTCGGAAAGCAAATTCGGAAAGCACATTCGGAAAGCTTTTGAAACCGGAATTTGTTTACGGATGGCGATCCATACACAAATGAAGCACTGATAGATGCAAACGGGAAGCATCCCGAATTCCCAGGGCCATGTTTCTAGCATTTCAAAAGACAAAAACATACAAACAAACAAAGAAACGAAAAAACCACGAGAATCTTACCGACGTTTTGCTGGAGAATTAGTGATTGCTCAACCATGTCTTCTGGGATTTAAAAAAGTTGGCCACGACCTTGACCAAAGCCCTTGCAAAAGGAATGAGAGACATCTTCAAAGATATCAAGCAGTTGCACTCAGCGCATGCAAAAAAGAGATGCTGCCCAACTCCATTCAATGGGGTGCAGCCATACAAACAAACAGAGTATCATAGCAGACATCTGTGGCTCACAGAACAACCTTGTACACCTAAAATGGCCTTGCAGATTCTGATGACGAGAGTGATTTTCTGGCAAAGCTTGATAGTCTGAAAGGTTTATGGGAAATGAAAGTGCCTGGTTTTCATGCATAGTTCACAAAAAACCGCTCCTCATACTTTACAGCGAACCTCCTCATGAGTGCAAGAGCAGCTATTTCCATCGAAGGGTGCTTCTACACAAATGGCCTAGAGCTTAAACATAAGCTACAAAAGAAGGCACTGAAAGAATCTGAAGTGCCTAAAAAGGTGCATGCTGTAACAACAGAGCTGCAAAAATGGTCTCAAGAATGTCTTGTGGAAGAATTGAGAGCGCTTTGTGGCTTAGGCAAGTACCGCCTCGCCCCTAGTTTAGACCATATTCAAATTGATTGAATCTATGAAATATCAACGGAGTCAGGTGATATACACAAAATGCATTACTTTCGGTCTCTGGCAAACTATTTCTTCTGTAATGTTTCAGAGAAATATGGCATCGCTGTCACACGTCTGTCTGATGGTATCAAGGAGAAACTTACCAAGGCAAGACTCGACATGGCAACGCTTCAGAAAATATTTCAAACAGGCATTTCCAGAGTGTTATTCACAATGATTTCATTATTCTTATTTTGCTCAATTAATATTTTTTGTTTACTTACGGTTAATGATTAATTCGTGAAAGAACTGGCACGTAATGTAATTCAATACTCTATTTGCACACGTGCTATCAGCATTGAAGGATTTACATCTACGCTATCTAGAACTCTACTCTATTTTTCTTCGCAACAAATCGATAACTTCTACTTAGAAAAGCTACCAAAGCACACTAAAGTAAGTGACCTTAATTGATTATAGTTCGTTAATGTTCAAGTGAAATATCTATCGATTATTCGTCACTATCGTGTTATCATTTTAGATCATTTATTCGTGTTTGTAATCTTGACTTCCGATAGTAGAGTTGTAACGCCACGCATTGTAATTTAGACTATATTAATTATATTGTAACCTAGGATTTTTGTATCTATTCTAGTTCGAACCACGCTACAATTACACAACCTATTCRACTATCATTAAAATACATCTATCGTGCGTTCGAACCGTGCCTGTTTAATGGTCTTCATTCTCGACTACCTATCCCATATTGTATCGACTATATCTATCCCATGTAATCGTGGATTACACAGAGCCTTGCTAACAGTACTTGCCTTCCCAACGAGCTTTGATGATCGCCATGATCGCAAGTCGAAACCAAGGGCCACAAAATGCGTGAAGGTCCTCACAAATGTCATATGTTTTTACGAAAAATAATTACTTCATATTTATTTTGTATATAAAGATACAAAACCTAGCTTTTGCGTTTATCAAACGTTTCCCGGATATAATTTTATCGTACGTTTTCTACTATTTCCGAGTTTTCTCGGCTGAGCAAGGCCGTAGCTGTAAGTGTTTGCCATTGGGGGGGGGGGGGGGGGTTTTCATTTTATTTATTTTGTTATACTATTTTGTAAATAATATTCCAACTTGGAAACGTATTTCATATTAATAGACTAAAATACATTTTATTCTATTTATCTGATTTTAAGTGTGTTATCGAGAATTATTGAATCCCTTTTTTTCTGTATAATAGACCCTTTCAGCTTCCTACGTCACCGATCGGTCACGTGGTCTGAAATGGGTAAACACACGCACGCTTCAGCCAAATACTATCGAAGTGGAAAATTAAAAGCTCGAAAATGGTTCACTATTGTTGCGTGTTCAATTGTTATAATAGTTCAAACGATACGACGCTTTCATTTCATGGATTCCCAAAAGACAAAAGTCTTCAAAAGGTGAGTTAAAATTCTTTTAGTTTTGTCAAACAATCAGGTGTTGACAGACTACAATGTCGTCTCTTGAAAGGTGCGCTTCACGAAATCTTTCATTAAGACTTAAATACCGGACTTTAATATAAGCTTAACACTTCAGCAAACGCCTTTTCCTATGTCTATAATGTAGAAGTGGACGTCAAGAATAAAGAGAGATCCAAGTAAAGACTTCAGGATAACACCCAGCACAAAAGTTTGCTCTTCACATTTTTTAGATACGGACTACAAGTTCTTAGACAGCAAATCTAGACGACTGAAGGAAGAAGCATGTCCCTCGATTTTTTCSTGGTCCAAAACGTAGGTTRCGRTACTAATCTACCTTTGAAATTAAGGAGAAACTACTGAAGACATAATATATAATAAGTCTCCAGTCATAATGTATGACAGGGGTGGGAACTGATTTTTTTACACAAGGAAAATTTAAGATCCCCCTTGTGATAAGAAAAAAATTCTTGAACGCCCCTTCCCTAGAATAGGCCAATAAAAATTTAGACATGAACTCAAAATCTGCAGTCTTCAAAAAAGAGAGACCCCCTAAACTCATTAAAAAAATTGTGATCCCCACCCAAATGTCATCTGCCCCCTCCCTCCCTTCCCTCCCTGCCATACATTACTATGAATGAAGGCTAATATGTACTTAAAATCTTAATACAATTTTCCTTTTTCATTTATAGAGAGAGCAATGAAAGACCTCTATCAGTCAGAAGAGAACAACTTCAAAGGAAAAGAGAAATGCTTAAAGATGAAGAAACAGAATCAGCCTCTGAAGGAGAAGGATTTTATGATATGGCTTCAGAATCTACAGCAAATCGTGGCAATCAAACAGATTTGGACATCCCATGTTCTCACCAACTATCAATAAAAATGTTAAAAACAAGGTGCCCTACTTCCAAAAAAG